AATAGCTGTTGGTGTTGATTTGAATCCCCATTTGTGTGAATGTCATCCTGCTTTGATCTCTTTTTTACAATTGGGTTGTCTTCTCTTTTGAGGATGTTCTTTAGAGGATGTCCTCTGGGCTGCAGGTTGGTCAATGCAATCATTAGAAGTCTGTTCTGCTGTTATCGGAATTGTGTTGATCTAAGTTCCTTAATCACCTTCAACTTGATCTCTGTTCACTGTTCAATCCCATGTTAGGAATAAAAGGTAAGGCCATCTGAGCTGAATTCTTGACATTCTGTAAGTTTTAGATACTGTGTTTAGCTTTTCAGAGAAACAACAGTAGACATTCTTATTTGTGATACGTGGATAATTTCGCTTTTGTTTTCCCTCTGTGTTCCTGTGGGGAATCTTTTGCAATCTCTCCAGTGGTGAAAATATCTTTTTTCCCATCCTCTTGTGATTTGTGTGATCCTAAAAAGGTTTATTCTGTTTCTGGCTGCTACTTATCCCTTTGCTAGCCTTTTCCAAGGCTGTATGGATAAGTGGATGTCTGCATTATGTACATGACTTGATTTGATCAATCTTTTCTTTTTAAAAAAGAGTGAAAGAATAGTTAAATTAATGGTATTTATGTTCACCGTAGATCTTCAAGCAGATACTGGGGCTCAGGACCATATGATGGTCCTAGTGAGTTGAGTACAGCACTGTTTTAATTTTGCGTGGGGCAGCATAAAGATGGGGACATAGAAAGTTGCCTTATCCCAGATAAGAATATTTGTTTATGGAAGCTTCCACTAGATCTGCCTACTGCACTAAACCAGCAAGTGTTTTGGTATGGTTTCAGTTTAGTATGTTGTGTGAACCCAGTCATTGAACAAGCCCTGGAATGTGATGTGTGAACCAGCGACCCTCCAAGGTTTCAGGCAAATATCTGGTTAGCAACTGTCCAAGATTGCAGGCAAAGATCCCATTGCATTATCATTAATTCTATCCCTTCAATTGGATGAATCGGGGACTGACCCTGAAACAATCTGCATGAGTGATATGTGTTCTATCACTATGCTATGGCCCTTCCCCAACAAGATGCCACAAGAAAGTTTCCCTCTCACATGTTTCTTGCATTTGACAACTTTCCCAGATGCTCATTTATAATGCAGAAGATTCTGTCTTCTTCCCCTGAGACCACTATAGGCCTATCTGTTCATTTTCCAGGGTACAACTGAATATGTGGAGAGACTGTTCCTTTGGGTTCTATATACACCCAAATGCTGCAGGGCTCCAGGATTGTACAAATTGAACAGGGATCATATATAAAGGCTCCATGCAAATAGGAAATCGGCACACATCACAGGGTTGAGATATAGTTGGTAACATATGTTATCCAGTTAGCCACTGAATATATTGATTTGAACCTGAATGAGCAAGACTTGCAATATGCAGAGATGCTGATTGCTTCATATTGAGTTTAGATTGCAAGACTAGAGAACAGCCCTACAGAAGCCATACAGGTAGAGAATTTGTCTTTTCGTATCCTGGTATTCTCTGAGATACCTTTTGTTCAGTTGGACAAATGCATAATGATGATAAAGAGGATGTTTTTCTTGTAAAGTTCTATGAATAATATTTTATTATTTTATACTTTAGTTTTTATACTTTGACTTTCTTTGTTCAAAATAAGTAGATAATATTCTATATCCATCAGTGTTCCTGAACCTCCAGTGGTGTCTGTGAGTAACCACAAATATGTCAAAACGATGACATGAGTGTGATGACATCCTCACACAAATGCCGCTATTATGTACTTGTGTCCCAGTGTCTGACACAAAGCCATAGGTCATGGCATTTAAGGGATGATGATTTCTCTGCATTTCTTTCCTCAGTCATCTTTTCAATACCGCTACCCAGTTGGTCAATATTATTGTTATCCTAATGTTACAGATGTGGTTGGGAGTGGTTTCAAGTTGTGGATGAGTATAGCATCTAAATTCATAACTGACCTTTCAGCTCAAGGTCTCCTCAGAATTAATCTAGTCAAATTCTCTCATAAGATTAAAGTTAAGGTTAAAATCAAGCTTATCTAGCATCTTGTGTGGGGTTCTTATGTGTTTGGGGAGGGGTATAATTTTTCAAAATAAAATATGTTGTGAATTAATGTAATTGACTGGAGAATGTCTGCCATGTGAGATAATATATGTGCAATTATTGTGCTTGATTTTTCCAGACCTAACTGATCATTTTTATTTCTTCTGTTTAGGAAACTAATCTGTTGTATTTAATATGTAAAGAGATTAGTAGTTTAATCGTGTACTGTATACAATTTTGCATCTTTTAGTCTAGGCTTTACGACAATCTCTAATTTTTTTCCTGAATTACTGCAGTAATGAATTCATTTTATCTTCTAACTGCAAAGTCTGATTAGTTATCTAAAGTCATTTAAGAGTCTGCTGGTTCTTGAAGCCTAGCAAGGCAATCCTATACAAGGCTATTCAGAAGATGTCACTGAATTCAATGGGACTTATGCCTAGGTCGGTGGAGATAACCTTGTAGTTTAAGAATATTTAAATTGGCCGTACCAGATAAGAACAAATACAATATTCCCCCAAGCTGGCTATGATGGTCAAACTGTGAACATGTCATGGATTTCTGTTGTGGGATATTACATGCTTCTAATCTGTATTCTTCCTATAAATGCTGAAGGCTGGCTGATCTTTTTAATATTTCGGTGGGATGATTTTATGAGCAGCTATCTAGAATAACTGCATAAAATGTTCACTGAAGGAAAAATGCTCATTTATAATCTGAGGAATAGGTTGGCGTTGACAGTATGAAAATATGTTTTAAAAAATCCTATCAATTTCCTTCAAGTACATCTCTTTAAGTGAGGCTATAAGGCTTTAATCAGTTAATGGGATTAATGAAATGAATATAGCTCCCAATGAAGATTAAAATCTCACCCTCAGATCTGAATGGTACCATGCCACCTTGTTTTTCACAGAGAAGGTTTCTCTAAAAAGAGCATAAATATGTCTTTTCCCTTTATTCCAGCTTTTGCAGCAACAGTTTATTCTGCATTAAACACTGTTACAGCTGTCTTTTAAGTAACTAAGGTAGCCACTTGAAAAACTAAAGCCAAAATCTATATGAAGAAGATAATTTTGAATCTAAGCAACTTACATTAAAATTATTTTCAGCTTCATTAATATCAAAAAACCCACTTCACTGATTTCTGTTTTCTACCTAACAAGCAATCTGATTATCTCACTAAAAATGGGGAAAAAGTTGACTTCAACGGGTGGGGTTTTATGCTTCCCTAAAGTGAAGAATCAACTATTATTTGCTTGCATGTTTGCTCATCCTGGAGTTTTTTGGGAGAGTTGTGAATGCAACCTTATATAATCTCTGTATCCGTCAGGCCAGTTTTGCATATCTAGAGTCCAGTCTAACTTTCTGAGGGTATAACCTAGTTGAAACTTGGGTTAATTTTTTTCTTTCTCTGCTCCCTTTTCTCTCTGGGTTTTTAAAAGCATCTTGCCGGGTAAAGAGTTTTTGGAAACTAGAGAGCTTGCGTGCTAATTTGTACGCTCTCACTTGGCCGAATAAAAGTAGGGTTTGGGTTTAAACAACCTGGATTTAGTAATCAAGAAAATATTATCCTTCCTTCATTTTAAATTGCTCTGCTCTCGGTAGTACCTTTTATAAGAGTACTGTAGGATGCATGGCTGTTTTTTCATTCTTCCACAGAGGAGTCCTGCCAGTTTGGGTGTTGTGCTCTTTTTCGGCCCACATTCTGGCAAGTGGTAGAGCTGCCACAGGTTTTCCTTGCTAGCTTGACAGCGTTGCAACTTGCTTCTCCGTAGCCGGAAAGCTTTCCTCTGCGAGATCCAAAACTTCCCTTCCTGGATTCTCTCTAGCTCACTTCATGATTTTAATGTTTTGGTTTGTTTTCAAATTCATACTTGATTAAGGGCTGGTTTTTTGTTTGTGTGTTCATTTGTTTGGTGGGGCTGTATCTGCAGAAGAATGAATGGGGCTTAAATCTGGTCTTGTTGAGCCTTTTAAAAGGAAAGACAAATTGGAAGACAAAAGAGCTTCATTGGGTTCTGCAGCCTCATATTAATGCTGCAAGATTATGCCCAACCCTTTGATTTGGTTGCAAAGATA